AAACGGCGCTTGCGGTGCCAGCGGTGAAGACTGTACCATCACCGAATTCAATCTGGGTAAGTGTCAGAGATTCTTCTCGCCCCCCTTCTATCCGCCGGGAGACCCATCCCTTAACGAGAGACTAATTAACTGCGCATCTCTAATTTCATCATTCAAATCATTCACTCACACTATGTGTACATTGCAGACACGGGCGACTTCTATACCCCTCAGGCATACGACATTTCCAACATCCAAGGCTTCACCCAATCCATCCAAATCGCCGCTGCAGGCTGTGACACTGTCACTTGCACTAACGTGAACTGTGGTGTGAGTTTACTCATAGTCGTTTATTCTCCCTCATACATCTTCGTTATTTTATTTCACCATTTCTATGATCACTAACTGCGGTTTTTTTTTTTTTTTCGCGAATTTCAACATTTAGTGCGACGAAGCTTATCCCGTAGGCGTAAGTCATCGCCCCGTGTCCTCTCTTCAACCGTCTCACTTAATGAATGCTATTCTCCTTATCTTCCGTTATTGTTCCCGTCTTCTTCCCTCTTCCAGGATACCACCGGCTGCGGCGACGACTCCCCAGTCCGTGCTTGCGGCTCTGGAAACATCGCGTTCACCATTACTTTCTGCCCCTAAATGCATGCCGATAGAACTATATACCAGTCAATCCACTCAAAGTTATAGTACATTGCTGAAATCGATAGACACTCTGAGATTCTTACACTTCAATAGTAAGAAATACACTCCAAGAACAAGAAAAACACTTCAATAAGAAGAAAAACACTTCAATAATAAGAAATATACACCGTTGGTGAAGTGGTTATCATGCTTGCCTTCCATGAACTTTGATAGAAGCAAGCGGCTCGGGTTCGATTCCCGAACGGTGTATGAGCAAAAGGAATGCATCATTTCATTTTCGTTTATTTTTCATAATTCTCGACATCCGATTGTTTTATTTCATTGTACTTGTAGTCCCGAGCCTTTGTCTTTCTTTGTTCCTTCTCTTTCTTGTGTCTCCCAGGCCTAATTAGGTCGCATGAAAAATTGCTCCTACTCTTCCTCCTCCTCATCTTACTTGCTTGATTCCCTTCTTCAAATTCCCATTCCAACTTCACTACCTACAGCGTTGGAAAGAGGGGGAGGGAGGTAGGAAAATGTATTCAATATGTACTAATAAAGGAAAAGAGACAAACGAAAAGAAAAGGGACTGAACGATTAAAAATCGAATCAAGTACATGATGAGTCGAATGGAATAATAGTTTATGAAGCAGCAGTAAAAAAAGGTAACAGCATCGGTAGTACTACTAGTAATAGTTGGAAAAGTAAGGCCCCTTCTCATCACATAATAACACACTTCTCATCCTCAGCCTTTGTTCCAACGATTCCCATCTCTGCAAATGTCTGAGGACCAGCTGATGATTTCTGCGGGACCCCTCCTCCTCCTCCCCCACCTGCTGGCGACGCAGGCCTCGAAGACCCTCCACTAATGCCTCCTCCACCACTAACACCGCCACTAACCGGAACACCACCACTAGGACCTCTCCTCGGTGGTGGTCTCCCTCCCGCAGAACCAGAAGGCGACCTCGAATCACTCCTGGGTGCAGACCCAGACCCAGGATCAACCAATGTATATCTATTCGCTGTAGGGTACGCCTGTTGACGGGGTGGTCTGAGTCCTACACCTGGTCCTTGCCCTTGGGGTCCAGCAGAAGTAGGTCGAGGTATACCTTGTCCTTGTCCTTGTCCCTGAGCTCCACCTTGTCTAAATCCGCCTGGACCAAGAGCACCCTGTTGCCCTTGTTGACCTTGCAGAGTATTTTTCCTGATTAAATCAACTACAGGCCTCGAATCTTGTCTTCTGCCTCTTGGACCTCCTTGTGGTAACCCGCCGGCCCCTCCTGGTGGTCCAGATACCCCCGGCCCCGGTACATTATACCTAGCCGGTGCCTGCTGCGGTGCCTGCTGAGCTTGTATATACCCATCTCTAACCTTCTGCGCCTCACTTCTCTCCTTCGCCATCGTCCTCGACCTAACAAGTTTACTCTCTGTAATCGAATCATGTTCCAGTCTCGAAAGCATTTGTGGTTTCTCCTGTTCCAACGCTGCAAGTCTTTCAATCGCATCCGAGTTTCCATGACTCGACGCTTTTCTATACCACCCCAACGCCTCTTCTAAATTTTTCACACCTCCAATACCCACTTCACAATAATACCCCATTGCGAATTCTGCAGAAGGTAATCCTTTTCGAGCGGCTTTTTCAGCAAATATTCGAGCTAGTTGTTCGTCTTTGTCAAATCCACCTAGTGAAGGGTCTGTGGAAGGGTTCATTCCGGGTGGCCCACCGACACGAGATCCACATAGGAACCATTTAGATAAAGCCATATCTGCTTCAGTTTCTAGGAAAGGATAATCAACTCAGAGTCATAAACCGTTGTATCCTGTACTTACCTCCCTGTTGACTAGCTCTGGAATACCACTCCACACTAAGCAGTGCATCAAACTCGAACGGGGGAGTAGCGAATTCATACGAATGACCGAGTTTATATTGTGCAGGTGAGAAATGGAGATATGCTGAATGCATTAGATGAGCTCGAGCTTCGAGGAGTAACCTACAACAAGATTAAGATCATATAACAGTAGGGGAAAAAAATCACAAATCACACATACCCTTGATTCCCCATATGCGCATATTCAGGCTTAACCAATCCCAACCTAAAAAACAACCCTTCCTCGACCTTCACCTGCGTAAACTCCCCAAGCAACAGCAACGCATACACATATGCCGGTTGAGGGGTGTCCAAATCCGAAACCAGTGCAGCCTTCTTCAACAAAGGCAACGCCGTCTCTTGAGATTCGGGTAACCCTAACTGACCTAGAAGCTGAGCCATGCCTAGACGATACATACACCCTCCGACACCAGCTCTAACCCCTCTCTCAAAACACTCTTTCGCATGAACCGCATCTCCGAAACCTTCATAATCTCTCCCAATTCGAAACCAAGCCTTGCCGAATCCTGCACGAGCGGCACTTTCAAAATCGCGAAACGCTTGACGAGGGTTTTTTTGGATGAATTCGGGAAAGGCGCCGGATGCGAGGAGGGAAGCACGGTGATACAACGCTTCTGGTGAATTAGATATATCCAATAACATCGGCACAGCGACCTGTGCCAATCTAAGTAACGCCTCATCGTGTATCGTCACCGGCCCGTTCGGTGGTTCACCAACAGGAGATCCAGTAGTCATCGCATGCGCACGGTCCACAAGAAACAGAACATCTCGAATCCAAGCGACTTTTAACGTTGGATCATGAGCAGGTGATTGAACCGTAGCCATCGCAGAAGTCAGAGAAGGGATTGTCGGTAATGGAGCTGTCAAGTCTGAACTTGGATTGCTATTAGGTGGTTGAGTGACATGTTGAGATATCGTTGGTGAAGGAGATACAGCTCTTTGTCCCTGTCCATGTCCATTATCGAATGATCCTCCGTAAAAACTCTGATTCTGATGAAAATTCGGAAAAGGCAAAGTTGGCGCAGGGGACATCGACGCATGTGGCGGTGTAGGCAACGCAGGAGACCAAGGCGACCACGAGGCTTGAGTAGCCTGAGTAGTTTGACCTCGTATATTAAACCCACCTGGGTTATACCCTGGTGGTGCCGGTGATATCCCTCCATATCCGGCAGCAGGCGATGGTCCTCTAACTTGTTCGTCTAAATTCCGTGCCATCTACCAACGTTGAAAAAACCTTTGCAATTAATTCCAATCCAAATACAAACAAAAGCAGTGAACTCACATTTGCAGGAATCTCAGGATCTACTTTTTGCGCTCTCGGTGCAGCTAGTGGATCTTCTAGATGAGGCGCACTTCCTCCGTCGGGCGTTATTAACGACGGTGTTGGAATCAAAGGTAGCTCTGGAATCAAAGACGGCGCTGAGATCCCTGAAGAAGACGTTGAAGACGTCCAAGTCGATGTCGATGTCGAATCCAAAGTCAAAGAAGATGGATCTCTGATAATGATATGCGGTGGCGGTGGTGGTACCGGAAAAGAACTCATGTATATATAAACCCGTCTTGTTTTCCTCGTGGTCCTTGTGTTTTTATTTTGTCTTGTCTACCGCCTTCGACTCTTTTCAAGAGTTGTCGTTCGTAATTCTGTTGTTTGTTGTTCGTTGTTCGTTGCAACGTTGGATTTCTACTCAAACTTCGGTCTTGATTGTTTTAATTTATATCATAATATATATCTAGTATGTATAGATCATGGCGGGTTGTATTATTTCTACTACTCCAGAAACATCCGAGAGGGCTAATTCAGGGCTGAACCATCATCGCCCCCTCGTTGCGCGCCCCGCTGAAGCTTGACAGCGAACAGCTTCTTCCCGGCTTTCTCACTCCCTTTGGAATTTTGCCATACCATGGTCACCGCAATATTCATGATCAGCGCAGTACTTGGTAAGTAGACATCTTCCAAATTGATTACTACAGCTGTAGGAGGCTGTAGTACACCTCGGCAAGTCACTGGTAAGGCAATGCCTAGTTTGTATCCGAATTATCATCGTCCCATTTATCGATGAATCCTCGCTATGAAAACATTGAGCCGCACCCGTACAGCGTCCATCACATCAACAATGACCGGACTATCTCACTGCCCCTGCTGTCTGCAGGTAACAATCCATCGGAATCATCATTATTCTATGGCAGGCCGTGGCTCCTGTCAACAGCGGCCAACTACTTATAGCTTCCCAAGTTACATCTGAATAAAATCCCTCAAAACCCTCGAGACCAGGAATCCTTCTCTTTTGCCTCTTAAAAATTTCTTATACACCTTCGGGGACAACTTACGATACTATTGGCACAACCTCAGGCCATCAGCACACCATCATACGGGCGCGAATTTGAAAAACGTTTTGTGCGTTCGATGGGAGAATATCATCTTGCTGCAATGGAAATTCTTCGTTTCTCTCCTTCCTCATCTCGTAGAATTGATAAGACAGGCGGGAGTTTATGTATAATGGCCGCCTGGCGAAATGGCATCGCGTCTGACTACGAAAATGTAATCAGGAGATTGCAGGTTCGACCCCTGCGGTGGTCATAACTTTTTCATATGGCTTGTTCTTTCCTCTCAGTTTTTGTTGACGTCTCGTTTCTTTTTCGCTGCGTACTGCCACGATAACCTACAACAAGCGTTTACCTCAGAATTTGCAGGTACACCATACAGTGCTGGTTCTGGGCTCATCCCAAATGAATAAACTGAGAGTTTGTTTCAAACGGTGATTGGTATATTATACATATAACCGAGTCGGATGTGAACGAATTAGATGAACAGACAATCCCCTCAGATCTCAGAACCGGATTTTAGACGAATTTGAACAGGCTTGAACAGGCTTAGACCTGGCTTGTTTTTATCCATTTACGAATGCCAATTCAAACTGCTGCTAGAAGGACATCTAGCGACATCCAAACCAAATGATAGCAGTAAAAAAAGTCATGATTTATGAATCCAAGGCTATCCAAGATCAGTAAACCAACTCGTAATAACCAAGTTGGACGTGAACATAGTGGTTATATAACAGAGGGTACATTCTCCATGTCGATTACTCACACTAGCGAGTCCATCAGAGTATCCTGTTAGTTACGCATAGATCCGAAGATATCCGGATGATTTCTGAAGTTACAAGCTTTGCTTGACCCGTGCCTTCGGCACGGGCAGGGGACAGTGACTTTTAACAACACATATAATATTGATTGTATTGAGCCAATACATTATTCAAATATACAATATAATTTAACAGCACTAAACTCTAATCAAGCAAAACCTCAGGATAGACAATGTTCTGTGTTATGCACTCTGTATTTCCTGTAGATTGCTCTGAGTAAATAAAACACAAACTTATAAGTATATAACATACCTTCAGGAAAAATTGTTTTGACTCCTTGCTTTGTTGTAGAGCGAGAAAGAGCAACATAGAGTTGACCATGAGTAAATACTGGGGATTGAAGGTTCAACCCAACTGTTTTAACTGATTGCCCTTGAGACTTATTGATGGACATTGCAAATGCTAACCTCACAGGAAACTGGCGTCTTTGAAAGACAAAAGGTAAATCAAGATTGGATGGGCTGAGTGTAATACGTGGAATCAATATAATCTGGCCTGCATTATCTGTTAATTGTAGTGATAGAACACTTCCTACATAGTTAGTTTACATATAAAGTACATACATTACTTATAAACTAACTACTGTATCCACTACTTTACTTATAACATTACTTACACTTTCATTTCTTCATTTTTCAGAGTCTTTTCCATTTCTTATAGGAGCGCACAATTGTGGACACCTATTATCACGCCTCATGCGTTTCTAGTACATACAAGACCAAACAGACCTGTATTCCTACTACAGTTAGAAGGAACCAAATCAATATTCACTATTAGTGTCTATTGGAGTATTGAGGAGTCTGCAAGGTCAATAGTACAACACTGTTATATCTATGCAAGCTAAGTCTTTACGAAGCTTCGCGATCCATTCCGAGACTTAGATATTACTTATAACCTTTCACCACTACGCAATTACTTCGCGAAGGAATTCCGACGCGAAGCATTTACTCTTATCTCTTATCATCCTTATCGGATTTACACTATCCCTTTTATATCCCTTCCTTTGTTCTTTACTTACGAGCTAGCCAATTCGGGCGTAGCATCGCTTCGCGATCCTGACTTACCTTTAGTATAAAGCTATGGTATCGAATAGGTAGTTCTTCAGTTTAAATATCAACCTTGATAGCACTTCGATAGTGATACCAATTAATCAACTATCCCTATCATCGTTTTAACATCCCCTCACTGTCAGTACGTTCCGCGATAGTCATCGCGAATGGAACACATTTATCTTCTTCTCTTGCGGACACGCGAAGTGTCGAGGGCTCTACTAATAGTGGAGTCAAGGTCCGACTAACTAGTTTAGGATCGTTTTACCTCGCAAAGTATTTACTTCGTATTTTCCCGCGATCATCCCGCGATCATTCCCGACGATCCATTTGTGCATGATCATAACAAACACTACCCTTGTACATAGACTACAACAGCAGTGTTTCTGACGGGGGTACACTCTATTGTCTACAGCCTTAGCTGCAATAAGTGTGCAACATCAACTGTGCCAAGTTACCCTTCAACATTATCTCCACCCAGTATTCTAGCCTCTAGTACTCTTGCTGTACATCGGGTAAGGATTGCACGGGTTCCATTACAAACTCCAGCTGATGGATCAAGATTCCTAAGAACCATTATTGGTGCACCAATCTTTAACTGTAGTTGTGACAGTGGCAGGCCAGAACCATTGATATTGTGAAGGAATTCCTCAGGATACTGAGAATCCCCATCTGCTGCTTCATCTATGACAGCCTTGTCTGCACTATGATAAGTATTGATATTGCCACTCAATGTATTTAAACACATGAGATTGGTTTCATCAACAGTATCATTTCATGGGCAGAGTATAGTGCACTCTGAAAACCATGAATCAACATTATCTGCTGCACAGTCAATAACATTGAGATTTGGATAAATGGCAGAGATCAAGGAGTCAACAGAGTCCCCACACTTCATAATAGGGTCAAGCTTTATTTGGCTTTCTGGACCATTAATTGAACCATGTCCAACCTTCAGTAACCACTCTGCATACTCTTTGTCCTCTGCTGTACCACTACTTAATCTTTTATTTTCTTTTAGATAAAGGATCTTTATGTCACGCCATAAATAAGATCACTGGATACACTGACCCACAATTTGCTCTCGGTGTCCTTTCCGGACCACAGGAAGTATTTGCTGAAAGTCTCCTCCAAAAACAACTGTAACACCTCCAAATGGCTTGCTAGGGGTGTCCCTAATGTCTCTCATAGTAATATCCACAGCCTCTTGACAATACCGGTCCTGCATTGGAACTTCATCCCAAATAATAAGACTGGTCTCACACAGTAGTTCACCCAGATCAGAGTTCTTCTTGACAGAGCATAATTTTCCTTCATATATTTCAATAGGAATCTTAAATGTGGAATGAGCAGTTCGCCCCTTTGGGAGTAAAAGAGCAGCAATCCCTGATGAAGCACAGCACAATACAATCTTTTCATCTCCACACAATGCATAATAGAGTGTATTATATGTAAATGTTTTTCTAGTTCTAGCTGGACTATGGAGAAAGAACATCTGAGGGTTATTCTCATATATTGCAGCTTTAATTGTATTGAAGGCCTCTGCTTGTTCTCTGTTCATCTTTGCAATATTCTCTGATGCTCTTTGCTGTTGTTCTTCAGCATGAAAGACACACTGCTCTCGTATCAACCTATTGCCTTCAACCCCTGCCCAAAATTCATAATTAGGAACTGGCATGCCCAGAAAACCTTTTAATCCATCATGTACTCCTGCATGGAAAAGGATTTTATCAATAAGATATAAACCATAATCTTCAATTTGATCCTGTGTTGGGTTGGCAATAATCCCTGAGGTCTGTAAATGGTGGTTGATATCATCACAGATGTGTTCTTTGAACTGCTCCCACAGTAAAAAAGGTTGAGCAGGACGGCAATCTTTAAGAATTGTTGCAAAGAGTGAATGGAGTGCAGATCCAGATTGCATATGTCTTGCATCCTCTGTTAAAGTCATGATGACAAACAAAGTGACCAGACTGGGGATTGAACCCAGGACCACTGGTGAAATCCCAAGATGCTCTAACCACTGAGCTATCCGGCCATGGGTACAATTAATGAACACAGAGGTTTATAGCACTAGAGCCAAGTCACATGTCCCAACTACTGAGGTCTTACAACTTTGCCTGGAGGTCTTACTTTTGCCGAGTGGTCTTACATTATGCCTTTTGGGACCCTTGGATAGTTATAAACATGTTTCATCAGAGGAGTGTCAGATTGTTAGATCTTAACATCCTCTAGGCAGTCCTTCCACTCAGAATCACTCTGCAAAAGCCCACGGGCCAAACATGCTTCTTGGTGTGTAGGATATTCCACTCCTTCATAAGTATGTAGATCTGCAAATGATGTAGCACCTTTGACAACTGTAAGCAGCAGTCAAATATAAAACCTTTTGCCAGCTGCAGGGTGAACAAAATACATCCGCCCAAGAGCAGCTTTACCCTCACGAATCTTCCATCTTTTTGTAGTTTTTACCCAGACCCATTTTGTAGGAAATTCCTGGTACAAAAGTGATTGTGCAACCATTACTGCATGTTCAGGATCATCCTCAGCCTTTTTCTTCTCTGCTGCATTAACTTTGAAGTAAGCTGTAAGTGTGCTGTCTTTTGACCCAACAGCATGAAGAACCTCCTCTACTGGTGCATCAGCATCAAACACTACAAATTGCCCAGCTTCTGTATGTACTGCAAGGCGGACAACATTTGGGATTTCTTCATGCATATCATAATGAAAAAGCCTCCAAACTGATTCAGAGGCAGATACATAACGGGAATCTATATATTGCTGTATTTCATCTTTATTTTTCCCAATTGCCATGGTTGTATGTGTTAAGATCTAACAATCTGACACTCCTCTGATGAAACATGTTTATAACTATCCAAGGGTCCCAAAAGGCATAATGTAAGACCACTCGGCAAAAGTAAGTCCTCCAGGCAAAGTTGTAAGACCTCAGTAGTTGGGACACGTGACTTGGCTCTAGTGTTATAAACCTCTGAGTTCATTAATTGTACCCATGGCCGGATAGCTCAGTGGTTAGAGCATCTTGGGATTTCACCAGTGGTCCTGGGTTCAATCCCCAGTCTGGTCACTTTGTTTGTCATCATGACTTTAACAGTACGATCATGGCCTTTGTAAATGTATTTATGAAGGTATTTGAAAGCTTTTATGGAAATGCAACACTCTAAGTTGGCATGTGATTTGAGCTCCATCAAAGCCCAAGGATTATGAGGTACAACCCATCTGTTATCAATATCAATTTCTATTCCATTGACCTTTTTCTTGCAAAGCCTTCCATTCTTGGGTCTAGCATAAAGGGTATAGCCATCCTCTGACAAAACAGTATGCTCTTGGAATACCTTAGGATAACCCTTGGAGCATTTTGAATCCTTCAT